AAAAAAAAAACAAAAGTAAACTTCCATGTTGGCAGGCCCCGGAGAGGAGCTGACCTTTGGGAAGCTCCTGCCCGGCTAGGATTCGGCTGCGCGGGCTGGGACCGTTCGCCCAAGTCCTGCCTACTGCTCCGGGGAGAAACAAGCGTGGAGCAGGGGGTGAGCTGGCGCGTTTAGGTGTGCACGCGGAGGGTGTGCGTGCAGGAGGGAGCGCGCGTGTCCGCGGAGGAGGCTGCCGCAGAGGCTCCTTTGTGGAAGGGGGTTCAGAAGCCAGCTTGGCGCCTCCCCTTTTGTGCTTCCACGAGGATACCTGGCTCTTCTGCACAGTCCGTATATCTCTGCCCCCCGCCGCCCCTATTTCCCTCGGTGGCCAACCGTCTGGTCCTCCAGCCTTTGGATGCGGGGAGCAGCTTGTCGGATGGCTGCGTCCAAACCTCCAGCCCCCTCGCGGCCCCGCGCAGGTGTAGGTGAGGGCCGCCACGCCAGCGGCGGAGCTGTGGGAGGGAGGAAGGGGCCGAAAAGAAAGGGGCGTGCTGGCCTTGAGGCGGGAGCTGGGATCAGCCTCTTAGCATTGTTACCTGAGGCAGCAGCTGCGCCCCGCCCCGCACTGCCCTGCCCCCTCGCGGTTCGGGGCTGCCGAGGCTGCAGTGACCTGGGAAGCGGCGACGGCGCTGGGAGCGAGCACAGGGAGCGGGGGCCGCGGGTGAGTGTGAGTCGCGCCGCCGAAGCTGTCGCGATCGCTGCTTGGGGGCACCCGGAGCCGGCGACTCTCCGGCTCGGGAGGGCCAGGGGCGAAAATCAGCCAGGACCCAGGGCCGGGGCGCCGAGTCTCGGCTGCCTTCGAGCCTCACTGAGAAGGCTGGGGAGGTTTGAGCCCCTCCACACCCACCTGGGTGACTTTAGCGGCTGTACTGCCTGGGCCGCAGAGGACAGCGATCGGTCCCTTGAGGCGAAGACGCGCAGGTCCGGACCCGCGTCCGGAGAACGAGCGAGGTCGCAGGATGCTCCTGGGTCGGACCTGGGTCGGCTTTAGGATAAACGAAGCATCCACCTGACTTCCGCCCGTTCAGGAGCGCGCGGTTGGGGGCGCGGGCCAGGTCCCCGGCCAGCGGGGACACACGGCTTGCCCCTCTTGCCAGTGGGTGCGGGGTTGGCAAGGACGGCGTCCGAGGGTTGCAGACGGAGGAGGACCGGGCGGCTGTCGCTCTAGCACTCCGTGCGAAGTTCAGGCTGGAAGTTGCGCCCTTCATTTGTGCAAGTCTGGGGAGGAAGAGGGTGGGCTGGCGAGTCACCCCCAGCCGCTGCGGCGCCCCCAGTCTGGGGACAGCAGGCTCTCGGTTTAATCCTCGGATCAAACACCAGGAGTCTCCCCTCGCTGCTTTTCTCGCCGGCTCTTCCCTGCTGCCTGTGGCGGATCCGCAGTGCGGCCGTGAGGCTGTCTCCCCCGCGCCCCGGACCCAGCCCCCGGACGTGGGGCAGTGTCGCCGCCGAAGCGCGAGGAAGGGACGGAGCCCTTGTCCACGAACCAGGAGACCCCACCCCCCTTTCGCTTCAAGTACAGAGGCACCTTTCCTGGTTAGCTCCCTCCTCCCGCTCCTGGGAGCGTTGTGCGGCCGCCTCTGCGGAGGGGCAGACGCGGGGAGAGGATGGCAGGGGCGAAGGGGCTCTGAAGCTGGAGCGCTCGGGCCGAGGGAGCGGGGTCCGGCGACCCCCCGGCCCGCCGGGAGGGGCGAGGTGGTGCGGCGGCCGCTCCAGTCGCTTCACCCCGAGATCGGCGGACGCCCCCAGGAGGCGGCAGGTCCGGCCCTTCCAGGCAGCCGGCAGCGCCCTGGCTCCGCCGCGGCGAGCACGGACGAGCCTGCGCGGCGCGTGTGAGCGTCTATCTGTGGACGCGGCGCACGGGCGTCCCCGGCCTCCCCGCCCGCTCGCCGCCGCAGTCCAGATAAGGACGCGGCCGCGGGGTCGCGTGCTGCCCGCGGGGACCTCCCACTCGCGTCCCCGCTGCCGTCGCCGCACGCTGAACGGGGCCGCCGCTGCGTGGCCGCCGCCGGCCAGGGGCTTGCGGCGCCCTCCGAGCCTTTTGTGTGGCGGAGCCGGTCGAGTTTGGGTGAGTGACTGGGACGGGAGGGGCGCGGTGGACCGCTCGCCGGTGCAAAGACCTCGACAACGACTGTGTGTCCCGGCTTTTTGAAAGACATCATTACCCCCGTGTCCTCCGCCGCATATTCCTTCAGGACCTAGTCCCGAACGTGGATTTGCACCCTAAGGTGCGGCCGTCTGTGACCCCCTCTCCTGACCCACGGTTGTCTGCCTGGAATGAGCAGCTAGCGCTTCCTTCCTTCTCTCTAGAGAGGATCCTTGGGCGCTCGTTGGTCTTTTTTTCCCCCCTTGGTTTTGGGACATTGCGAGAAACTGAAAATGCACATTCAAAAACAGGCGTTCTTTCTCTGCTCTCAGGGTGTTGGGTTCCGAGGCATCCGTGAAGTGTTTACGTTGTGCTGTAGATTAAACACGCTGACTGGAAACAGTCTTGGGTTCTTTCACTGCTGGTCAGAGTGCCAAGGTGAAGAGTTGGATGTTGCCAGCTCTGGTTCGACTGTGTAGTTGACATTCAGTGTTTAATAATCAAGAAAGGTTTTGAAAGATTGGGGTGAGGGGAAGAGCCTTTTCCCAGTGAGTTAGTGGAGAGCGAAAATTCCATATTTTAGAGCTGCCTGTACTCTCTCCACCCTTTCTTCTCCCTTAAATAAAAGAGGGCTGTAAGGTCCTCTGCCTCTTCTCTCCAAACCTGGTGTGCTGTGCCGCCTTTTGTCAGCAGAAAGATGTGGGTCAGCCTTTCCTGCCCCCACCTCACCTATGACACATGTCAGCAATGAAGGGGAAAGGTTTTCTGGTGTGGGTATTCCTTAGCATTTATCTTTGATGATTGTTGACCTAGGGGGTGAGTGACCAGCTGAGCAACAAGTCACTACTAACCCTCTTTCAGGGAAGCTCTGAGCTCTGAGCCGAGTTTCAGGAACATGTTTTCCTCCTAAATACACTGAAATGAAGCACACATACTTTTTTTCTTCCCTCCCATCCATGCCTTTCGAGAGAATAGAGCTTCGGCTGCGTTTCTGACACCAAGAGCAAAGTTGCGCCAGCTGTTCAGACAGGAGAGTTTAAGAAGGGGCCAGAGGGCTTCTTTGAGGACCCTATGAATACTTTCATTCTGAGACTTTTGCTTGCTGATTAGATAAAGGCTATGTACATGGTCCCAGCGTCCCCTTATTAAAAACCCACATAGTTAAAAGATGCTCAGCTGAGCTAGGGCCTCCCCCAAAGGGTCCATCACTCAGACACACCTTTGATGGGTCATGATGATTAGTACTCAGGGGACTTGCAGAGACATTCTCATTTTCAGAGCCTTACTGTGACAGCTGTCCATTTGACTCAAAGCTGGGCATTTGTCAGCCTGAGCAGCCATCCTCCCTTGCTGATGAGGTCCAAACCTGTAGGTGAGATGTTAAATACAAGCTCTCTCTCTCTGCCCTGGGGGAAGACTGATGGACACTTGACGTTTTCCAGACAGAGCCAAGGCTAATTCCATTGTCCGTGCTGGCAATTACCAGCTGCCACAAACAGCCAGTGTCTTTAGGTCTGCCGCATCACCTGTGCTCTCCTCGGGTACCTGGAGAGTTTCCGTTTGCATCTTTACTGTGGACAGTACCCTAGTAAATCAGATGTTCTTCGTTTGTCCTCTGTTTCAATATCTCCCGAGACCGTGGAAAGGGTTAGAATGTCTGTCTGCACGCTCTCTTTCCTACCGTCTCTCTGATAGGAGAAATCCTGGGCAAGGGGGAAGCCCTGTTGAAGCTCTGTTGATGCTGGTAGTAAAAGCATTAGCATCTTAGCTAATCATTGCTGGAGAACTTAGTCATTAGAAACTGTTGGGGGGGCCTAGAATTCTTGTATGTTACCCTGGGAAAATAATTAGCCAGACAACATACCAGGAACAATGTTGTAAATTTTCTTTTGTTCCTTTAACTTTTTAAAATAGCGTTCTTTCCCATGATAGGGCAGCGGTTAGAATCCTGCCAATGCGTAGCTAACACAAGTTACTTATTACTTCCACAAGCTTTTGTCTGGCACTTCCCCTGTGGAACACATAGTACTAGAAAGGCTTGCATCCTTTGGAGCTTTGGTATTAGAAGACAGCGTTGTTGCACAACCTCCGAGTGTATCGTCTTTCTCACTTTATTAGTATCCCTCTTTACCTTTGCTATGTGAGGTTTAATGCCACATCTGTGCATATATTTACCCAGCACTGAATGAGTTATTATTGCTTTCTAGGATGGAGACATTTTTAGCTTTTAACACCATTCTTAACAGGGATAATCTATAAACAAGTCAGCATATCTGGAATTGAAGGATTAGCAATTCTTCTTTACATGATTAGTGAATTGGAGGATTAGCATGAGGTATTTCATGTACGAAGAAGTATTTTAAAATATGTCAGGGTAAACTGCCAAGATTACCTGTGCAGTCTTGAAAAAAGAAGAGTTCAAATATAACTATAAACTGTAATTGACAATGAGTCATTTGCTTTAGGGGTGCCAACTATGAGAACAACCTAGTTATGCCCCTAATGATAATTATGAAAACTCCTTTTAAAAGCCACTTGCATCTCAAGCGAGCTATAAGTTGGCTTGGATAAATATTTTCAGTTTTACTTTCTAAAAAGTTACCCAGTTGTGATGGCTACAGAACCCTTGAATGTACTTAATGTCACTGATACACACTTAAAAATGGTTAAAATGGTAAAAAAAAAAAATAAGTTATCCAATTAATAATTAGAAATGCTATTTTCTATTCGTATATAATTTTCAGAACTTAGTCAAACATTTTATAAAAAACACCCATTGCTGTAATGTAGAACTAATTTAATATACAATCACTGAGTATTAAAAGAAAGACAAATCTCACAAACTTAGTAACTTAGAAAGCAGAGAATGGAAATATTGAAGGTTTCTAGCAGCCTTAGCATTTTATCTGTAAACCCAATACATATTTTAAAGCAAATGTAATGCCTATGAAAATAAAGAGAAATCATATGTACATATGACACCAATTGTTAATAATAGCTATATACAGGCATCTGGGTAAGGACTGTACACGTATTCATATATTCTTACACAAGACAATGAAATGGTATATCCTTATATTATAGATAAGGATATTGAAACATAGGGTTAATAACCTGCGTCACCTCAGGTTGCACATCTAAGAAGTAACAAAACTAGGATCTGAGGAAAAGCAGTCTGTTTCTGGACTGTCCGCTCTTAGGTTACCCTGCCTTTTACATGGGGTTTTGTGTAAAACATTTCATAATATTTGAATTAGTGATATCAGACAGGTTACTCCTGCGTTACCCAGTATTGTTTGACCAATGTGTGTCTGTAAGTGTGAGCTTTGACAGTGATGCTGTAAAAAGACCATTACACTCAGGAGTCCAGTCTAAAAAGCCCCTCCATTTGGCCCTTTATGACCGGGAGGAAACAGTCCCCTTTTCACACACCCACATTGGGGATGCTCACTCTGTAGCCTGCCCGGAGTCCCTTCTTCCACGTCCCCACTTACCTGTCCTCATATATGAAGCAATGTGGTTGTTTTGACCCGTTTTCACATCAGGTCTGTAACAACCCAACACCAAAAACAAACACTTAAAAGTCGGCAAAAATGCGCTGACTCCCAAATAAGTCAGTAACTGTGAGGATAAGGGATCGGCATGTGGCAGGTGTGATACAGACAGCTTATCCTTATGTGTGTGTGTCTTCTTGGCTAATAGTGTCACAGCAGAAGCAGAAGAGGCAGGTAAGAGGTTCTGATGGCTTATAAACAGTGGCTTACCTAGAATCCAAAATGATAGCATCAGAAGCGATGACAGAAGTCTTGTAATGTATCCCAACCTCCTAATTTTACAAATAAGAAAACTGAAGTCTAGTGAAGCGAAATGATGTGTCTAAAATGGGAAGCGGTAAAGCTTGAGTTAAGGCTGGAACCTTTGATCTTCGGGCCTCGTGGTCTTTTCTCTGTTTGCGTGGAAGCCATGTCACCAAGTGGAGCAGGAACATGGTGGCCCTGACTCCAGGGGGATGAGTTTGGCCGTTATTTTATCATCTCAAAATGCCCTGCCTATTACGTTCAAGGTGGGAGATGCCAACTGATTGGTATGGGACGTGTCCCTACTGGAGAAAGGCAGGGTCGCTAACGCCTACCGCTTAAGCCATTTGGGTAATTTCCCCAGGGGTTGAGTATCCATTTCCTGAAGAAAGTGAGCCAGGTAATGAATAAGTAGTTTATTCATAAAGTGAGCAATACTTGCTCAAGCTTTAGCGGGTTCTCAGTAAATATGTGTTTTATTGATTAACGGAAGGTTTCCAACTTGGATTTTTTTTGCTGCTGTTTTGGCAGCATTTCCAGGTAGTAAATTTTGGTTCACATTCAGAAAAGTATTAGGCCCTTTTAATGCTCTCTTGAAGGTGTTGTCCCTCATTGAATTTTAATATCCAGCTACTCTAGGAAGACTGGCACTGGCCTCTGAAGGGAAGCGTTAGTATTAGAATGTTTTCCTGCACTGATTTTAAAGCTCTTTTATCTTTGTAGGTTTTGAAGATGACACGCAACACGCCTTTTTCTCTAGACTTGCGCGTGGAAAAAGCATGACCCAACTTTGAGGTTTGAGTCTGCTTCCCCAAGGTCAAGAAATCATCTTCTTAGCCGGCAACAGTACTATGCATGTTATGAATTGTGTCTCCTCGGTCAGTGATAAAGAAAATGGGACTCTGGCCACGGCAGCTGGATTCATGATTGGGCAAACGCCACCCCCACCTCCTCCTCCACCCCCTCCACCTCCTCCATGTCCTTATGCTGGGGAAGGGTTTCCTCCCTCTCCTCCTCCCCCACCACCTCCCCTGCCCGAGGGGCCTCTGGTCCCACCTCCCCCTCCGGAACTGCCCTCAACTTCTCACGTGAACGGCTACAGCCATGTTGGTCAGAAAAAGCGAATGAGAAGCTTTTTTTGGAAAACCATTCCAGAGGAGCAAGTTCGCGGCAAAACCAACATCTGGACCTTGGCAGCCAGGCAGCAGCATCGCTATCAGATCGACACAAAGACCATTGAGGAGCTCTTTGGGCAGCAAGAAGATACCACCAAGCCTTCCCTTTCCAGGAGAGGAGGAACTTTCAATTCGTCCTTCAGGGAAGCTAGAGAGGAGGTAAGCCTAGGCCACGCTGCATTGTTTTGAGTTTGGGAGTCTAGGTACGTTTCACACCTTGCTAGAATCCCTAAGAAATAAGGGAATGCAAGGGAATGTGCTCTGGGAATGATAGGAAGGGCCTTATATGATAAACTTGAGCTGAGTAATAACAAAATGTAGGAAGCAAGCATGCTGGACCCTCCCAGACATCTCGGTGGAGCATGACCTCATGCAGAGAGCATGCTGTGGGCCTTCCTCTTGGCCTCTCAGCTCTGCCCTGGCTCTGCACATCTGCTGCGGTTTCCTCTGGTGGAGCACTTCATTGGAATCCAGGATTATTCGTCTCCATTGAAACCACAAAAAAAAACCTAAGTTCCTAAACTCAGTTATCTGTGATGAACTGGAGCTTTCTGAGACAAAATGCGTTTTGTTAAATAGCATCATTAACTAACACACATCCTTAGGATTTTATCCTTATGTTTCCCTCCAGTTTTCCTTGTACAAGTGTTTGGAGATGGCCTTCAGTCCTCAGATCTCTGAATTAAATTATGGCCAACGTGGAACAGAGATTTCCAGAGAGCCACAGCCTGATGCTATATTTTCAAGTAGACTTTCTAGGAAGCATATTTTCAGTTATCACTCAGTACGTTACGTTGAGAAAAAATAAATAAATAAAGCTAGCAAATTATAAGAACTTAACTGAAAACATGGTGTCAGAGCTACAAATCACTGTATGTTATAGAAACGGAATCCAAAATTGCATTTGTAAGTACACTCTGAGTAGAAACATGAGAGTAAATTAAGAAACCCCTATTTGCTAGAAGAAAAAAATTAGGAAACCAGGGATTAAAAGGAAAGAATGCTGCCTGCCCTCCCCTCCCAAAAGGCAACAGAAATGCATCATTTTTTAATCTGTTGTAAAGGAGCAGAGAAAATAGGTCAGAGATGGAGCTGACGAGATAAGAGAGTAGGCAGGGCTCTGGAATGAAGCAGCATACAGCTCCCTGCATTACTGAATTCTTGAGGCGACAATATTGACCTCTTTTCTCTGCCTGGCGCAGGAACAGGTTAACTTCACGCCACAAATTCACTCGGGGGGCCCTTGAAGCTGGTGGTAGGGTCCCCTATTGAAATAGCCAAGAATCTATTTATTATAAAATACGGGAAATGCTGGGATTAGAATTCACTGTAAACTGTGATATAAATTTGAGAAGAAGTCTTCAGGACAATCCTGGTGCTTTCCCGGCTCGCTCCTTTATGCCAAGTCCTTTTATTTCTTAGTGGATCCTTTCCGTATTGGAAGGAGCCAGAAGTCATTTCCTTAGTACCCTGGCCCTTGCCCCAGCTTCCAGCAGGGATTTCTTATTGTGCGGTAGGTCATTGCTTACCATTGTTTTTCAAGCTCCACTCACTGAATTTCAAGAATTTTGAAGGAAAGAGTGGATGGGCGCGTGTGGGAAAAGCGTGTGTGTGTCTCAGAAAAGCCCCTGGGGCACACAGAAGGGGGCCTGGCCCATCACACTGCTGGGAGGCAGCTGGCCTCTGTAAACTGTATCTGCTTCTTTTGCCAAATGGTAGTTCATGGGACCATGAGGAACTTGCTGCTTTATGTTTGTGAATTCGAGAGGGGCTAAGGACCGTGGAGAGAGGGAGGGAAGTGGCAGGGAGTGTGGCACTCTTTTTCCAGCTGTGGTAGAAGCAGAAATATCCATTTGTAGGCCAGATCTAAAATTCGGGGGGGTGGGGAGGGGGGGCTCTTTCTCCTCACTTCCCAACACCCCTAGACCGTAGGCACAGCTTTATTATCATCTTTTTTAAGTTAAAAAAAAATCTGAAAGTGAATAATTATTTTTTTAATTGTGGTAAGATACACGTAACAGTGTTTACCATCTTAACCGTTTTAAAGCGTCTAGTTCCATGGCACTGAAACATCCATGTTGTTGCGTAACGTCCTCAAGGTTCGTCCATGTTGTAGCATGTGTCAGCATTTCAAGGCTGAATAATATCCCATTGTATGTATATACTACATTTTGTTTATCTAGTTACCCGTTGATAGACACCTGGGTTGCTTCCATCTTTTAGCTATTGTGAATAATGCTATTATGGACAGGGGTTTGCAAATATCTTTACTTTTAACACTTGCAGGTCCTAATCTGAGAGACAGCACACTAGAAAGAAAAATTAAATCACCATGACCGTGTACTCAAACAATCTAACTTCAAATCTTCAGTACACACGTAGCAAAAGTAGTGTAGGTACATGGATACATGGATTTAAGTGCCTATTAGGTAATATTGTCACATAACAGAGAATTAGCTAGAATTATGTTCAATTTTTCATGCTATCTCCAACATGGCTTGAAGGATTATCTATACTTTTTTTAGTAGAATACAGTTGGTGCTATTTTCTTCCTTGATTAGATTTTCTTCTAAAGAAATTACAACTCAGAAGAGAGATAGTCTAACAGGGAAAGTCATAAATCTTCTAATTCACTCTGTAGTAGGTGGAGTCCAGGGTTGAAAGTAGTAGCTCTCACCACCTGTCTGTTCTGTGTGGACTGGAGAAGCCCCTCGACAGCATGTTTGGCAGACGGACCTATCCTGAGCCTGGAAACATGGCATCCCGCAGGCCATAATTCTGGAGGTTCAAACGTGCCGAGGATCAGATTATGTCCCCTTGAAATATAATGATCTTGTACAGAAACGAGCTGCCATTACGTGGTTGGCTCATACTTTAAAGGGCTTATAAAGCATTACAAGTAAATTCCATTACACTCCAAAGGAAGAAGTTTCTGGAAGATAGGGAAGAGCTGGGTTTGGGAATCGCTGAATTTAGGAAGAATAACTAATTGAAAATAGTAAATTAGAACATTTAATAAGGGAGTAAAAGGCTATGAAATATTACTATCCTTATATCTTCGTTACCTAAAAATTAACTTGAAGAGGCTACCGATGGTACAATAACAATTAAGCTGTAGTAAAGTAATTAGAAATAACAAATTTATATTACTGGTGATAATAATAAAAAGATTCAGCTCAGACTCCACCTTTTCCCCCCGAGTTCGCTGGTCTCACCCCTGAGAAGTTTCCCATCCAACTATTATCAGTGCTACTCAGCCTCACACTAGTTCTTTGGGTCTGTACTTGTTTCTCTCCAGAATCTAAAACGCTCTTAAGCGGAGGGCCAGTCTTAAGGATTTGGTTTCCTTGAAAGAAATTAAAAATAACTCAGCTGACAGAACTGAACCGAGGAAGCAAAGGGGCTGTCTTACAAGGTATCGATATGATAGATCAAAATTGGGATTCACAAAGAAAACACAGTAAGATGAGTAAGGTCCAAGGATCTAATGTAAAACATGGTGACTACAGTTGGTAACACTGTATTGTATAACTGAAATTTGCTAAGAGAGTAGAACTTGAATGTTCTCACTAAAATATAATAATAAAGATAAATAGGTGAGGTGATAAATGTGTTTATTAACTAGATGGGGGGATTCTTTTCACAATGCACATGTATATCAAGTCTCCACAGGATACTCTTTAAATATCTTTACTATTTTATTTATTATACCTCAATAAAACTGAAATAAAGTAAAAGAAGACACAAATGTTGAAACACTAGAGGTGATTCATTATGTCTTTAGTAATATTACAATTAATATTAATTCATTATACCATGTAAGAAATAACTAAAATCATTTATTAGAAAAAGAGGAAGGGAGAGAAGAAAGATGGAAGGAAGATTGGTTCTTCTAAATTTATGAGAAGTAATATTTTATTCTCACACACTGTAATTTTAGGTATCAGTCATTCTTTCTCATCTTTTGTTATG